AACGGGGTGTGGTATGGGTGTTTCGTGTTCAATTGACATTCACGGCCACAACATGCAAAAACAATCGATGCGGCCGTCGACACATTACACGGGCTTCAGGTGCAATTGCCACGTATAGAGGAGGAATACTAGTTTTGGGGCAAGCAGCATCCCAAACATTGGGTGTCGCGAGAGTTGCCGGAAGGGCAGATTGTCTTCGGGGGGTCGGACAGACGAGTTGCGGTGGGACGATGCACATGTTTTTGAATATTTTTCACACGCCAATGGACAACAACAACGCGTGGCAGATCGATGCCTTCATGTTTCGATATGCGGCTCCAAGAGCCCAGGATGATTCCGAAGTGAATTCAGCACACGCACCCGTGGCCACGGCGGCGGCTGCACCGTCGGCGTCGACAATCTGGCGCATACATTCCAATCGCATCGCTCACGGCAGTCGAGAAATGTCTCTTATTGGAGATACAGGAACCTGGTCGTGGTCCGCGCTCTCAACGAAATTGGCCCTCGAATTCGAGGCAACCTTGCGTGTGGCATGCGGCTCCAGCATCCGTCAGCGCATGTCCCTTGGGCAATCCCAAACTACAGCAAGTACATTCGACAGCACATGCATCTCTCGATTGTGGCTGGCTCGTTGGCATCGCAATCATTCTGAATGTACACTTCAAGTTGGAAACAGAGTGATTGGTTCGAGCTAGTCGACATGTCTCCAGCAATCGCTACCAGCATGAGTATTCCTCCATCGAGGTGCTGTCCTGCTGGGCGACTTGGTTTTGCTGTTGGACAGCCCGAATTTTCACGAGGCGACGTGCTGCGTCGAACCGCTGCACATCCTCCATCTGAGGCCACCCTTTCTACCTCCGAAAGTCCGTGGGTGCTGCGCAGTTGCATGCCACCCCGGAAACGATCGCCGTCGTTCTCGCGGGGGGGGGCTTCCGAGACACTCGTGCGACATTCGGCATTACTGTAATGCTGCACGAAATACTCGAGTTATCCGCAACTTGCCCGGGGGGCCCGGCCAGGCACAAATTTGTCGGGAACCCATGCGTAAGCAATTCAGCCATTGTCTTACGGTAGAGTGCGAAAAAATTCCACATATTGTGCAAAAAAGCCCACAAATTTGGGGAAAATTTCGTGAAATCGCCGCAGGTCCTTCGCTGTTCTCGAATGAAAAAAATTCAAGGTCCACCCATACAAATGTCAAGTTATTATTTTTTATGACAACGCGCCGCGAGCGTAGAAGTGCCCACCTGCCAAGTTCAGTTGGCAGCATCACTCACACACATCATTTTTCAATTCCCTCGGCCGGTGACATGTTTCGACGCGTCCTCCTGGCAGGTATCGCGGCGCTTGCCGCCATGACATTTGCCCAGACCACCACGACGGTGGCCCCACCCTTCGGCGCCACTCCCACTGCCGCGCCAGCAGCGAATCCACTCGTGCCGTTCCCAAACCCATCTTCGCCATGCCAAGTGTGTGCCAACGCAAACGGCGCACCTGCGCAATGCGCCACCGCGTACAAAGGCGTGCCAGGACAGTTCTGCTACAAGTTTTTGAGCGCTGGGACCACGCAAGCGTGCTGCTGTCCGACTACCGCCAAGTGCGCTCCGCAAACCGCCCAAGTGAATGTCTGCCAATGTGACTCTGGCCCGAACCCCGCTCCAGTTGTCGTTGTCCGAAAGTCCATTTCGCCATGGGTATGGGTTGCCGTTGCCCTTGGCGTTGTCCTGCTCGTTTTTGCCATCTACTGGTGCTGCTGCCGCACAGTCGATGTCATCGAAGAGCCCGTCTATGTTCAACCTGGCTATGGCCAACCTGGCTATGTGCAACAAGGCTACGTGCAGGGCGGTCCCGTAGTTGTTGGTGGCCCTGGCTACGGCTACGGAGGCGGTGATGTTGCTGCCGGTGTTGCGATCGGTGCTGCTGCGGGTGTGGTTGGCGGCGTCGCCCTTGGCGCAGCCATAGCCGATGCTGGCCACGGTGGGTACCATGGTGGCGGATACGGCGGTGGGTACACCGCTGGCGCTGACCCGAGCGCCGGTGGCGGGTTCTCTGGCGGTGGAGACTTTGCTGGTGACTTTTAATTTACAATTCACGCTCTATTTTGTACGTAATGTGCTTGTGCCCTTTCTTCCAAATGCGTGCTGCTTATGTTGCCGAGCAGCAGTCCACTCGTATGCAGCCCCGTCCGCATTGTAACCTCAACAGCGACCATTCCAGAGTTTTGAATCACAAACACGTCGACTAACGCCCATCCACGTCTACAAACGGCGCTCTTTGTTCACCCAGTGTGAAAGGATTTGTGACGGAAAATTGCCCCATCGATTGCACAAAGGACGAACGCTGGGGTGGGAGTTGACCGACGGCCACAAGGATGCCATGTGTGTGCATGCTCGCACCCATGCATGCTCGCACTCCTTTGCAAGTGGATTGCAATTGCAAATCTCCGATGGCTCGGTCGAAAAAGGAACATGCTGCTGAACACTTGAACAACTCAAAGTCGCACACGGGCGTACAATCGAACGGACAACGCCATCCATAGTGAATGAATCCAATTGTCGTGGTATTTCTTGATCGAGTCGCATGCGGCGACGCAGTTGCCAATGCCATGGCGCGTGAGATGGACGTGTGCCGCCATGGACGACGTGGGTCAGTTCGATGGGACTACACCGATGGTTGCCTCGTACGCAATGCACACCGCACAGAGGAGTCGGGTCGGAGGACCGTGCCAACGACAACAAGCTGCCGCTTGTGGAAAAGAAGGGCAGACGTCCGTCGTGTGTCGATGGTGCAAATGCCAGCATGCGCGCAGATACCACATTGTTTGATTGCGGTTATACGATGTATGTCTCGGTCATGGCTTCCGTTGCGATCTCCAACGACGCTGTCGTGGGGGAGTGGATACGGAGGGCAGGTGGGCAGACAGAATTGGCGCATGTTGGCACCGGTGCCGCACGAATACAAGTCGCGATGGTGTCCGTGAAACCAAGTGCGCGACGGATTGAAGGGTGGTGCAGTGCTCTGTCATGGCCGAACACACTCTGCATGCAACAATGCCTCCACCATTGATTCTAGCACGTCGTACTTTCGTCGGCCTGCGACACCATCCTGTTTACGACACATCCAAACGCGAACGTTGCTTGGTTGTGCGTGGTCTGCCATGGCGTTGGATCGAGAGCTTCGACGACGACGCCGCACGCATGTGGGGAAAGATGCCGGACGTGCCATCGGTTTACGGCAAATTAAACCGGCAAGGATACGATTCAGAAAAACGTAATTTTTTTGTAAATATTGGACTGGAATTTTAACGACACAAATACATCAACTTGATGGTCGGAGGCAGACCATCAAGTTGATACTGTACAAATACCAAGTCTAGAATGAAGATTGCCAAATAATTCGTCGCCACACCCGTTCAGCATCCCCTGATCCCATGTAGCGGCGCAATCCGGCGCAAATCCGTCGACATATCCACCCCTAGGACAAATGCTGCGACACTGGAGAGTGCGCAGCCTGTTATCACCACTGTGAGTTGGCACCAGCGCATGCCCACATAGCTATAGCCTTTGTCTCGAGCCCTTTGTGCGCTTGCCGATTGCACTCGACCACCAACAAAGCCACCGCCCAATTGGTGCCTCTCTGTCACGAGCATCGACTTACCCATGTGCGGCGCTGTCATGCAGATGTCGAATGGTTTTCGGAACATGCACTGTGACAGAAGCAATTCGGTGACGCTCGCTTCGAAAGTCGTCAACTCGCAACTTAGGTTGGCATGGGTTATCGGCACACTTTGGGTGCTGTTCTCCTTGTGATATCTACTGCTTTTGCTGCCGCGCTGGCCATGCTTTCCATTTAGCGCAAATGCGAGATGGCACGCCGAATTCGCTGTCGTGGGGTGTAAGGTGATGAGACCGCCACACTAGTGATCGAATCGAAGGCTAGCATGGGTTGGAGTAGGCATGGCTGTGGCAGCTGTAGTTGCTCAAGTGCCGTGAGTGTTTGACGGCGCAGGATGGCTAGATTGCCCAGTAGCTAGATTGTCCACAAATAGACTCCATCCACAGAGGTCAATCGAATGGAAAAGGAAAACCAGGTACAACCCGGTGCGGTACTCGTGCGATACGTGGCACGTTTGCAAGTCCTTGGGGTTTCCTGGCCCTCCTTGGAGTGGCGCAATGTGTGACATGAGTGAAGGCGAGTTGGTTGTGCTGCCGTTGTAAGACTACGGGCAACAGCGAGGCTCCCGACGACCACCCTGGCCAAAGTTGGCAGCCACACTGATTTATGCGGTCCATGTTGTGGGGATAGGAACTCGACCGCAACCGACGACCCAAGGACTGTCACGCCGAGCAAGGCATGCGCTGGCCACGACAGTTGAAGTGTGGTGTTGGCGCGGGAGGTACGATTTGAAACCCTTCCAACTCTCATCTGTTCGCCCAACTGGCCTTTGCAATTCCGCAGCTTCCAGGATGCAGATCGTGTGTATGCCCAAGCATTCCACGCCGCCCGCCGTGGCTTGTGTGTCCTGGCATCCACTGGCATACCTCGTGCCTTGTTTGGAGCCAACTCGACGACCAACCGATCTTCAAGCGCCATCGTCGAGTCGTGTGTAACGATTTGACGACGGTCTCACTGGTTTCATTCCTTCCGAATAAACACTCTCCCAACAACACAAATGACAGCAGTTCCGTCACCACCGCAAGTCGCGACTGCCGCCATTCTAGCCGCGCCGCGCACGGCACACTCGGCGCGCGCTTCCGCGCCCGGCATTCTTGCCGTTGGCAGGGGAACTTGAACTTGGCAACTTCAACTGCGCTACTTGAAGCTGTTTCGACCGCGGGTGTCAAAATATATCGCCAAAATGGATCGCTTTTCCACCACTATGATATTTTCTTCCCCCAAATATTATCTTGGTGTTTGTATGCAAAGTGAGAATGATACACGAATTTGGACCTTTTTCTCCCATGCAACGTCAAATATTCCGAGCGGTTTCGAAAGATATATGTGTTCAGGCGGCGACCATGATACATTTGATTGTACAATGTACAGTATAGAGATTTGTGAATGTACCTTACAACGTACAGTACTTCACTCGGTACGATTAGTTACTTCACTCCAACGGGAATTCACACTTTGGCGATGGAGTTTTCACATCGCCAGCGCCGCTCTGGCTTCGTCGACGTGCGTGCTCCGTCCAAGATGTCGAAGAACGGCATGGCGTACGACGCGGGGGGGGCGAAAGCTGCGACGTCGCGCACACCCATCGATGTCATTGCGACGTACATGAACTCGTCGGACTCGCGTCTCAACTTGAAAGGCACGGCCGATCACGCGCACTTATCGATGCGCCACAGCGAATCGGCGCAAGCCCACTTCTCGCCCATGATACAACCCACATCTGCACCAGCATCTCTCCAGCGAAAGCGGTCCACGTCGAACGCTCTTCATAGCGCGTTATCACGGGACTCATCTGCTGAATGGGGATGGTTTGCCGACATTGACAGCAGTGGTGAATCGTTTGGCGACAACTCGATCACGAGTCTCCTGCGCCGGAAATTTTCCATCGATACGGGTGGCGCAAACGAACACATCATCCACGACGAGCAGCACAGCACAAGTCGCATGACGGCGGCACTAAAGACGTTTCCAGGACTCGACGGCGGCGACAAGGTACAGACGGCCGCTGTGTCCATCCCCAAGTTTCGCATCGTGCAGTCTCGCGCCGGGTCCGACCGACATGCCGAGTACCTCGTCACGTTCAAGCTTGGTAAGTGCTCCCTTCTGCCTCTCGTCACCGTCATCCGTTGTGTGGCAGGACGCGAGTTCCATGCCGACTGGCGGCGATATTCCGAATTCGCCGAGATTGTCAAGAAAGTGGACGTGTACCGTTTTCCGCGGGCCATGGCGGCATGGCGCAAAATCGACAATCGATGGTACGACCTGGCACTAGTTTTGGTTGCTTTAGTGACCGACCTTGGGCTGCAGGTTCAACCGCCTCGAGCCGTCGTATCTGCACAACAAGTGCATTGCCCTGGAAGTATTTCTTCGGGATTTAATGTACGAACTGACGGTGCCAGACGTCCTGATCGACTTCATTGGCGAGCGAAACGTGAACTGCAAGCCGTTGGACGCCAGCGGCGGCCGCCCGTCGGCGCAACTGCCTAAGGAAATGCGCCCGAAGCAGCCCCAAGAAGAGCGCGAGCTCTTTGAAAAGCTCTGGGCCGAAAACTTTGCAAGATCGGCTGTGAAGTACAACGGGAACGCTCCAGTGTAGAGGCCAACTGCTGCACGTATATTTAATCACAAAATTCCCGAGATGGAGCCTCGCTCATGACGAGCGTGTGACGTCGATGGTGGTGAAGGGGAGGGGGCTTGTCGCGTTGCTATCGAATGCCTACAGGTTGAATGACGTGCCTGGCTGAATATCGGGGTCGTGCACTTGGCTTGACGAGATGACCCACGAGGCTCGGCAGGAGCAGGCGCCGTGGAGTTGGCATGCACGATGTGTTCGCCGACCGCAGGGTGCCTATCGGGCGGAATCGACACGGATGGTCACGAAGCCAGCCAGAGCCACCATGCCCCAGCCTCGTCGCCAAGGCTCGTGCACCGACTACTCACCCTGTAGTAGCACAAGAATCCATGGTACTACCTGGTTTACAGCGCGCGACAGGGCAGCGCCGGCTTGTGCCCCTGGCTGAAGTGTTTTGAACGGCGCGAGGCAAGTCGTGCGCATTTCTTGCCATGGCACCTGTCGTGGTGGGATGTCTCAGGTCGTGAGAGTTCGACCAACGAACGGCAGGGCGATCGTTCCCGCGAGGTTGGCCACCGCTTCATTCGACGTCCGGTGCATCAGCGACAACACGTTGGAGCATCTGGATGGCCCATGGAGTCCTCGTGCTGAGCAGGTGGTGCGCAGACGGAGTAGTTCATGCCGGCAGCTCCATAACTTTGACGTCGCGCCGCCCATGACCAAAGGCTTCGATATATGTGATGGTACAAACTCAAGTCATGTTTGTGCAGACAGTAAAGCCCTGCCAAACGAATTCGTGCAGTCGACTGGGTCGCGATGGCTCGACGTGGCTTGGGGGCTCGTGCAGTGGACGGACTGAGGTCGCATGCGTGCTCTGTGAGTTGATCGGCATCGTCTTCGCACGAAGCAGGGGGCTCTGGATGTAAGTTGGACGAGCGCGATATCGCCGGGAGGGGGTAGTGTGGAACGGTCATCGAAGGGTGTGAATGTGGAATTGTGACTTCTTCTCGGCACGGGGTCCACTGGTAAGGACACGCAGCTTGCGTTTGCTTGAGTACACACTAGCGACATCTGCCCCCACCGCGCATACGACCAAAACGATTGCGCGATCCATCGCGAC